TGTCCACGGAAGTTAACACCTTGACAGGAGCATCTTCTTATGAGATGGGTTGAAGAAAATTGTCATGCAAGTTTACTGCAGTTAGCTAAAGAAGTAGAAAGCCAAACTTGGGTGATTGTTTCCCGTGACAAAATATGGAGAGGAATAGCATGCATGGGTGTCATCCATGAAGGAAGCCTCTCCTAAAGCCCATGCCCAAAAATTCCTGCCTCGAATTTGCCAGGGCCCATGCTAAAAAAAAAGAAGACTACTGGGAATCTGTACTCTCGAGTGACGAAACCAAAGATAAATGTTTTTGGAACAGAAGGCTTCAAAACTGTATGACGTCGCAAAGGTGAGGAGTACAAAGAAAAATGCATGGTGCCTACAGTGAAACATGGTGTGTATGGTAGCCAATCAACCTCTAACTTCAGCTTGTTCAATTAAGCTTTGGCAATAAAATTGAAAGCTGATTGGGTTCTATGCAGAGCTGCACCAGATTTTGCACTTTCCAGTTCTAGTAAATAACACCCATGATGTACTATACCTTTGTCTGTGCAGGACTGTGTTTACCCACATGGGGATTCACAGCTGTTCCATGCATCCTCATGCAGGTAGTTCCATTGATGCCAGTTGGGACCCAGTGGCTGCACAGACACTATCTCATGGATCTAACCCTCCCCCACTTTATTCACAATGAAATAAAACATTTGGTTCATATTTGACTTTAATATAAATATATGCTGCAAAATACAGTCTAAAATTAAGAAAAAACTAATTATGTAACTCAAAAAACAATACCATCATATATTTAAATTAAATATTATTCCCACAAGATCTAATGCTCATCATTGGTTTTACTATATATGGCTTTTTCTTCTATTAAAGAATAACTCCACTTTTGTTGAGAAAAAACATTCCCCTCTGGGTTATCAATGTACATTGTAAGGATTTTAACAAATGGTAATACAGATTCCTACCTGTTTCTGCTCTGAAGAAAGAGCTGTTTGGTCGTCTTTGTCTTTTGGATAGTAATTCTGAATGGGGAGTGACTTTTTCATTATTGATCAGTGCTTTAATGAGCTAAGCTGCAAGGTCTGCATCCTTTTAGAAGTGATTAACCCTTTAGGAGCATCTCATAAAAAATGTAATTTCTGTTGCAGAGGATTCACAAAATCTGATTTGTACCTTAGTGTAGACTTCTGGGAAAATCAGTGAGCCAATTACACAAGTAGGAAATGGCAATGCTGGGGAAGTTCAATACACCACCTGTGTACAGAATGCCACAATGTTTCCATATTGCATTACATTTACAGAAAATTACAGCACTGCAGATTGAAAAGGAAAGGTAATTTTTAATAACAGTTAATTATAATATGGCTTGTGTCGCTATTGTATGTGCTATATTTTTCTTATTTTTTAGCTATTTTTTCCCCACTAAAGTGGAGTTACCCTTTAAAGCATACTGCAGAAAATGAAATCATAATCTTTGCTAGTGATATTTCATTAAAGTTGCATAAAATTTAATTGAGACAATAATAATATGAATCACTGTTATTTATCGGCCACAGATAAAAGTTGTAATATAGGATACAGTTGGCTGTTCTTCTCCTTTTTCTCTTTTTTTATGTTTCTCTTTACTAAAAAGTAATTTAAAAAAATAATGGTTCTCAGCAAATGTATAAAGTACCAATGGCAATGTAAGTCTAACTGAAAGTCTGAAGCATGTTGTTAAAAATTCAGTAATGACAGCTCAAATACAACCAAACTCTAATACAACATAGAGCATATTACATGGGTGTTGCTAAGAGTAACTAGTATGTACACTTTTGATAATAGTGACTCTTCACTGACTCTGTGAAGTGCAATGGATAACGTATGAACATTGCTCTAACAAGCTAGTCTTTTGAAAGGAGGGATGAGGTGAAGAGTAGGTCATTAGACCGACTCAGCTTCTGTACAAGTGAAAGGGAAGTAAAGTTTCTGTATATCAAATTAAGTGAAGCATTTTTAACTTTAATACACACAAATGTCTGCTAGGACTACCACCCCTTTAATGTCCAAACTATCCCCTAGAATTAAGGCCTGTGTGAACAGAATTTTCTTTATACTGTATAAAATTCCTTCTCTCCCTATACAAGCTAATGGGAATGCAAAAGCAGCCTAAAGTAAGTTCATGGAGTTTAGAAGTACACCAAATGCAAGTCAGAAGGAGTTCAACTGTCGTGGTTTGGCTGCAATAAATTTTCTTTCTTTTCATAATTAGTGATGACAAAATCTGTCAGGGTCAGTTCAGCATCGGCCCGGGTCAGTTCAGCTTGTGTCAGGTTCTACAAACCCAGCAAAAAGTCCCTAAACTGTAGCCTTAGAATTAAACCCCTTTGATGTCTTTGTGAGATGATTCTTGTTATTCGTTCTGGACATTTTCAAGGCTAAAAGGGAAGCTATTGCCAAAAAAGAAGAGGGCTTGGAGAGATAGGTACTGCCATGGGAGACATATACCAATAGAAAATACTGTACAACAGAGAGATGGTCTTTTCCCTTTGCTTTTAAAACACACAAATTATTTAATCATTTCACTGCTGTGGCAATATAGTGCAGTTTTTTGCACATGTGTAAAAATGCTAATTTTAGGCCTGCATAATGTACATTATAAACAAAATAATAAGGGCTCCTGATGAAGTGGAGACTCTCCAGATAACACATCGAGCTTGTGGAATAAACAAATTGATATGCTAGTGCAGGGCTAAAAATTTCAAGTTCTTAACTGCTAGCCAGGACTTAAGAGTTACTCGCCGCTAGTTGCCCCACACAACCCCTATGCTGCCCGCCCTTAAACATGCACTTGTAAATTATCTCATAAAATGGCACTGTTAAATGTTTTATGCAGAATGAAGGAAAGCCTCCTCGCCTCCTCTCCCTCCTGTGGCTTTCAGCTGCTTCATTGAAAGCCATACAGGAGATCGCTGCTTGTCACCACCCCACCGCCCCCAATGTGTAAAAATGCTTCATTGAATATGTAAAGAGATATTGATTTTAAAATATTTTTGATGTAAAATAAATGGGACGTACTAAACTGCATATTGGGATGATGGGATAATTGGATTATTGGCTGCAATGCTCGACACTCTCATTAGGTGTCAGTATATTTTTACACACATATACAGTAATGATTTTGTTGTTACTCAAAATACGTTTTTATTTTCTGCAGTGCGTGATACTATGTTGCAAGTAGTAGTGGCTAATGTTTAAACTCTTTACTTACTGATATCTGTGCAGTTGTAAAATGGCATCATAGTAAATTATAGAGAAATAATGGAAACATTATCAATATATTAATAGGAATAGATTTACTGATTTCATACAGTACATGTACAGTATGTGTAAAGCACTACATTTTGAAGTGTTTTATTAGGAACCTTGAAAATTATGTTTATAAAATGAAGATGAAAAAAATGAAGATTAAAAATTACAAACGCCAAGGAAAAAATTAATGCATTTCAGATAACAATGTGGTTAATATTTATCTTCATGGGGATTATGGCTGAAATATAATGGTTACACATTCCATACAAATTAAATTTCACCTTTTTAGATAAAAATATGGGTAAAATTATTTTTATATATGGGGATTATGAGTGTCAGGGCTCCGGGTATGACCAGAGGTATGTGAACTGACGGAGGGAAACGCAGGCTTCAGATATGTTATAAACAATATAATTTATTAATACTAACAATACAAAAACGCAGTGCAATACTAAAACATAAACACAGTGCAAACAAACCAAACCACCCACGGATAACAATACATACAATGCAAGCGTAGTCAAGCAGGCCGAGTCAATAACAATCAGGCAGGTAGGAACAGGAGGAGCAGGCAGAGAGTAGTCAGGTCACGAGCCGGGTACAGCAACTAACGGGCAGGTAGGTACAGGGGGTCAGGCAGAGAATGGTCGGGGTCACAAGCCAGGGATCAAACAGGAGAAGTCAGCAGAGGTCAGGATCAAGCAGGGTCGGCAACAAGTCAGTCAGGCAGGAACAGGAACAGGAACAGGAATGCAGGTAACAAGATACAGGGGCCCATGGAAAAACATACACCAAGGCACAGACTGCAGGTCTGGCCATCCCTTAAATACACCTGCAATCAACCTCAGGTGTTTTGGCTGACTGCAGGGTTGAGTCTCTGATTGCTGAGAGCACCCGCTGACCAGCCCTGGTACTGCAGCCCACAAGGCAGGTGAGTCCCACCATTATTGGCAAGTCCATTCCTGACAGTACCCCCCCCTCAAGGAGCGGCCTCAGGACGCTCCAAACAGTCCTAGCTGGGCAAAATGTTCCACCGCCCGGGTCTGGTAACTGGCTGGATATCAAAGACTGGCACATCGGGCTGGACTCCGGGCAGAGGCACATCGGGCTGGACTCTGGGCAGAGGCACATCGGGCTGGACTCCGGGCAGAGGCACATCGGGCTGGACTCCGGGCAGAGGCACATCGGGCTGGACTCCGGGCAGAGGCACATCGGGCTGGACTCCGGGCAGAGGCACATCGGGCTGGACTCCGGGCAGCGGCACATCGGGCTGGACTCCGGGCAGCGGCACATCGGGCTGGACTCCGGGCAGCGGCACATCGGGCTGGACTCCGGGCAGAGGCACATCGGGCTGGACTCCGGGCAGAGGCACAGGGCCCCCAGGCGGAGCGACAGGCACCGGGCCCCCAGGCGGAGCGACAGGCACAGGGCCCCCAGGTGGAGCGGCAGGCACAGGGCCCCCAGGAGGGGTGGCGGGCACTGGGCCCCCAGGAGGGGTGGCGGGCACCGGGCCCCCAGGCGGAGCGGCGGGCGCCGGGCCCCCAGGTGGGGCGGCGGGTGCCCGGGCCCCCAGGCGGAGCGCCGGGCCCCCAGGCAGAGCGGCGGGCCCTCAGGCGGAGCAGCAGGCACCAGGCCCCCAGGAGGGCAGCAGGCATTGGGCCCCCCAGGCAGAGCGGCGGGCGCCGGGCCCCTAGGCGGGGCGCCGGGCCCCCAGGCGGAGCGGCGGGCACCGGGTCGTCAGGCATGACAGCGGGCATCGGGTCACCAGGCATCAGGTCATTTGGCTCGCCAGCGGGCACCGCGTCATCTGGCAAGGCAGTGGGCACCGAGTCACCAGGCACGACAGTCGGTTCTGAGTCAACTGGCATGACCGCGGGCACTGGGTCAGACATTGGATCGTCTGGCTCGGCAGCGGGCATCGGGTCACCAGGCATCAAGTCATTTGGCTCGACAGCGGGCACCGCGTCATCTGGCAAGGCAGTGGGCACCGAGTCACCAGGCACGACAGTGGGTTCCGAGTCAACTGGCATGACCGCGGGCACTGGGTCAGACATTGGATCGTCTGGCTCGACAGCGGGCATCGGGTCACCAGGCATCAGGTCATTTGGCTCGACAGCGGGCACCGCGTCATCTGGCAAGGCAGTGGGCATCGAGTCACCAGGCACGACAGTGGGCTCTGAGTCAATTGGCACGACAGCGGCCACCGGGTAATCTGGCGTTGGATCGTCTGGCTCGACAGCGGGCATCGGGTCACCAGGCATGACAGCGGGCACTGGGTCATCAGGCATTGGATCGTCTGGCTCGGCAGCGGGCATCGGGTCACCAGGCATCAGGTCATTTGGCTCGACAGCGGGCACCGCGTCATCTGGCAAGGCAGTGGGCACCGAGTCACCAGGCACGACAGTGGGCTCTGAGTCAATTGGCTCGACAGCGGGCACCGGGTCATCAGGTACCGGATCGTCTGGCTCGACAGCAGGCACCGGGTCATCTGGCGCTGGATCGTCTGGCTCGACAGCGGGCATCGGGTCACCAGGCATGACAGCGGGCACTGGGTCATCAGGCATTGGATCGTCTGGCTCGACAGTGGGCATCGGGTCACCAGGCATGACAGCGGGCACTGGGTCATCAGGCATTGGATTATCTGGCTCGACAGCGGGTATCGGTCACCAGGTATGACAGCGGGCACTGGGTCACCAGGCATCAGGTCATTTGGCTCGCCAGCGGGCACCGCGTCATCTGGCAAGGCAGTGGGCACCGAGTCACCAGGCACGACAGTGGGCTCTGAGTCAATTGGCACGACAGCGGCCACCGGGTCATCTGGCGTTGGATCGTCTGGCTCGACAGCGGGCATCGGGTCACCAGGCATGACAGCGGGCACGGGGTCATCAGGCATTGGATCGTCTGGCTCGACAGCGGGCATCGGGTCACCAGGCATCAGGTCATTTGGCTCGACAGCGGGCACCGCGTCATCTGGCAAGGCAGTGGGCACCGAGTCACCAGGCACGACAGTGGGCTCTGAGTCAATTGGCTCGACAGCGGGCACCGGGTCATCAGGTACCGGATCGTCTGGCTCGACAGCAGGCACCGGGTCATCTGGCGCTGGATCATCTGGCTCGACAGCGGGCATCGGGTCACCAGGCATGACAGTGGGCACTAGGTCATCAGGCATTGGATCGTCTGGCTCGACAGCGGGCATCGGGTCACCAGGTATAACAACGGGCACCGGGTCATCAGGTACCGGATCGTCTGGCTCGACAGCGGGCATCGGGTCACCAGGCATGACAGCGGGCACTGGGTCATCAGGCATTGGATCGTCTGGCTCGACAGCAGGCATCGGGTCACCAGGTATGACAGCGGCACTGGGTCATCAGGCGTGATAGGATCATCAGGCTGGATCAGTTCATCAGGCTGGGTACAGACCTCAGGCTGGGTAGGGACATCAGGCTGAAGTGCGGGTGCCGAGGCACCAGGCTGAACCACGGAAGGCAGGTTCTCAGACGGCAGGCTCACCAATTTGGATACTGGCAGGATGGTACTACTGGTTGGAAAGAATTTTCGCTTTTTTCTGGTTTTAAACTACGGGAGCACTGCAAGTAAACGCAGGTCTGCAAACGAATGGAGCAGCTGAGGACAGAGAAGAGCTGGAAGATGGAACAGAGGAGGGAGCAGTTGCTACAGAGGACTTCTTCACAGGGTTAAAGAAAGGATAGGTGCAGCGAGTGGGAGCAGAGGACTGGTATGTGGTAGTTAGCAGAGTATACTGGGCCGTCACTGGGGGTGCTGTCGGGGATGTAGGAAGAGTGCCTTGAGCGGAGGAATGACGTTGCAAGCTGACTGAGGCTGGGTGCAACAAGTCTGACCATGTCTGCAGTATGGGTTGAACAAAGCTGAGCTTACACAAAGCCTGTCTGGTCAAAGATTGCACTGCGTTTATACAATCCCTTAATACCTGTGGTGAACATGCAGCATAATGCTCCAAGAAGCAATCCACATCATCCTCTAATAACCATACCAGGGACTCTACCTGGTCTGCACTAAATGGTGGCAAAAAGTCATTCCTGCTTTCAGGGGTACCAGATGAAGCCAACTCTACACAAACCTGAATCAAAGGTTGCACCTCAGAGAACTCTGTGCCCTGATCTACTAGAACATGAGCGATCCGTATACATTCTAGCAGTTGATCCCGGGTATACTCCCTCAGAGTCTTATAAGCATATTCTCTGTCATCAAAAACCAGCAGCGACAAATACACAACCTCATCAAGATCCATCCTTCCCAGCAACAAGCCAAGATGGCTTCCCTGTGCAGCCACTTCTGGTCAGGATTGGCCTTGGTGTAATGTCAGGGCTCCGGGTATGACCAGAGGTATGTGAACTGACGCAGGGAAACGCAGGCTTCAGATATGTTATAAAACAATATAATTTATTAATACTAACAATACAATACGCAGTGCAATACTAAAACATAAACACAGTGCAAACAAACCAAACCAAACTACCCACGGATAACAATACATACAATGCAAGCGTAGTCAAGCAGGCTGGGTCAATAACAATCGGGCAGGTAGGAACAGGAGGAGCAGGCAGAGAGTAGTCAGGTCACGAGCCGGGTACAGCAACTAACGGTCAGGTAGGTACAGGGGTCAGGCAGAGAATGGTCGGGGTCACAAGCCAGGGATCAAACAGGAGAAGTCAGCAGAGGTCAGGATCAAGCAGGGTCGGCAACAAGTCAGTCAGGCAGGAACAGGAACAGGAATGCAGGTAACAAGATACAGGGGCCCATGGAAAAACATACACCAAGGCACAGACTGCAGGTCTGGCCATCCCTTAAATACACCTGCAATCAGCCTCAGGTGTTTTGGCTGACTGCAGGGTTGAGTCTCTGATTGCTGAGAGCACCCGCTGGCCAGCCCTGGTACTGCAGCCCACAAGGCAGGTGAGTCCCACCATTATTGGCAAGTCCATTCCTGACAATGAGGGTAATATCATGGAAACTCTTAACCTGTTTCAGATAAGCAAATATATATAATTATTTTTCTACATGGGGATTATGGGTTTATTTTTGTGCATACACATGCCAAGGATCATATTTCCTCTATTTCTGACAAGATTGTGGGTATAGTTATTTTTCTACATGGGGATTATGGGTGGAATGTCATGGTTAAACATGCCTAGGAACACATTTGACCCCTTTCTGATAAGTATATGAGAATAGCTATTTTTGTACATGGGGATTATGGGTGGAATATCATGCTTAAACAAGCCTAGGAATACATTTGACTTGTTTCTGATAAGAATATGAGAATAGTTATTTTTCTACATGGGGATTATGGGTGGATTATTGTGAATACACATGCCAAGGACCATATTTGACCTATTTCTGAAATAATTATAGGTATAGTTATTTTCTACATAGGTAATATGGGTGGAATACCATGGTAAACATGCCTAGGAACACATTTGACCCTTTCTGATAAGAACATGACAATAGCTATTCTTCTAAATGGAGATTATGGGTGGATTATTGTGGATACACATGCCAAGGGCCATATTTGACCTATTTCTGAAATAATTATAGGTATAGGGGTTTTTTACATGGAGATTATGGTGGAATATCAGGGTTAAACATCCCTAGGAGCACATTTGATTTGTTTCTGATAATAGGAGAATAGTTATTTTTCTACATGGGGACTATGCGTGTATTATTCCAGATACACATGGCAAGAACCATATTTGACCTATTTCTGAAAAGATTATGGGCATAATTATTTTTCAACATGGGGATTATGGGTGGAATATCATGGTTAAACATGCCTAGGAACACATTTGACTTGTTTCTGATAAGAATATGAGAATAGCTTGTTTTCTACATGGGGATTATGGGTGGAATATTGTTTTTGAACATGCCTAGAAACACATTTGACCCCTTTCTGAATAAAATATGAGAATAGTTATTTATCTACATGGGGATTATGGGTATATTATTGTGGATACATATGCCAAGGACCATATTTGACCTATTTCTAAAATGATTATGGGTATAGGTTTTTTTATACATGGGGATTATGGGTGAAATATCATGGTTACATGTGCCTAGGAACACATTTGACCCTTTTCTGATAATAATATGATAGTTATTTTTATACGTGGGGATTATGGGTGGATGATTGTGCATGCACATGCCAAGGAATATATTTGCCCTTTTCTAATAAGAATATGAGAATAGGTATTTTTCTGCAATGGGATTATTGGTGGAATATTGTGGATACACATGCCAAGGACCATATTTGACCTATTTCTGAAATGATTATGGGTACTGTTATTTTTTACAGATGGGGATTATGGGTGGAATATAATGGTTAAACATGCCTAGGAACACATTTGATGTTTTTCTGATAAGAATATGAGAACGATTACTTTTTCTATATGGGGATTATGGGTGTAATTTTTGGATTCACATGCTAAGGACCATATTTAATCTGTTTCTCATAAGAATATAGGTATAATTGTTTTTCTGCATGGAGATTATGGGTGGAATATCATGGTTAAACATGCCTAGGAACACATTTGACTTGTTTATAATAATAATATTAGAATAGTTATTTTTCTACATGGGGATTATGGGTGGATGACTGTGGATACACATGCCAAAGATCATACTGTATTTGACCAGTTTCCCATAACAATATGGGTATAGTTTTCTACATGGGGAGCATGGGTGAAATATCATGATTAAACATGCCTAGGAACACATTTGACCTATTTCTGATAAAAAAATATGAGAATAGTTTATTTTTGTACATGGGAATTATGGGTGGATGATTGCAGATACACATGTCAATGACTATATTTTACATGTTTCTCCAAGAATATGGATATAGTTATTTTTTTCTATATAGGGATTATGGGTAGAATATCATGGTTAAACATGCCTAGGAACACATGTGACCCCTTTCTGATAAGAATATGAGAATAGCTCTTTTTCTACATGGGAATTATGGGTGGAATATTGTTTTTTAACATGCCTAGGAACACATTTGACCTCTTTCTGATAAAAACATGACAATAGTTATTTTTTTACATGAGGATTATGGGTTGTATTATGGTGGATACACATAGCAAGAACTGTATTTGATTTATTTCTGAAACGATTATGGGCATAATTATTTTTCTACATGGGGATTATGGGTGGAATATCATAGTTAAACATGCCTAGGAACACATTTGACAACTTTCTGATAAGAATATGAAACTAGTTATTTTTCTACATGGGGATTATGGGTGGATTATTTTGTGAATACACATGCCAAGGACCAAATTTGACCTATTTCTGTAATAATTATAAGTATAGTTATTTTTATACATGGGGATTATGGGTGGAATATCATGGTTAAACATGCCTAGGAACATATTTGACCTGATTCTGATAATAATATGAGAATAGTTATTTTTCTACATGGGGATTATGGGTGTATTATTGTGGATACATAGGGCAAAAACCATATTTCACCTATTTCTGAAAAAATTATGGCCATGATTATTTTTCTACATGGGAATTATGGGTGAAATATCATGGTAAACATGCCTGGGATCATATTTGACCCCTTTCTGATAGGAATATGAGAATAGTTCTTTTTCTACATGGGGATTATGGGTGAATTATTGCGAATACACATGCCAAGGACCATAATTGACCTATTTCTGAAATAATTATAGGTATAGGGGTTTTTTACATGGAGATTATGGGTGGAATATCATGGTTAAACATGCCTAGGAACACATTTGATTTGTTTCTGATAATAGGAGAATAGTTATTTTTCTACATGGGGATTATACGTGTATTATTCCAGATACACATGGCAAGAACCATATTTGACCTATTTCTGAAAAGATTATGGGCATAATTATTTTTCAACATGGGGATTATGGGTGGAATATCATGGTTAAACATGCCTAGGAACACATTTGACTTTTTTCTGCAAAGAATAGGAGAATAGATATTTTTCCACATTGAGATTATGGGTGGAATATTGTTTTTTTTTAACATGCCTAGGAACACATTTGACCCCTTTCTGATTAAAATATGAGAATAGTTGCTTATTCACATGGGGATTATGGGTATATTATTGTGGATACACATGCCAAGGACCATATTTGACCTATTTCTAAAATGATTATGGGCATAGTTATTTTTTTACATGGAGATTATGGGCGGAAAATCATGGTTAAACATGCGTAGGAACACATTTGACTTGTTTATGATAAGAATATGAGAATAGCTATTTTCCTTTGAAATCCCTGGGTGGAACACTGTTTACCTCCAGACATTGATGATTCCTTGCTTTATCCATGTTGAGTCCACCTATGCTCTTAGCTCCCCTTTCAGCCACAGGATCTAGCATTCCCTCGGGGCTACCCTCCTGTTCCCTCTCTTTCTCTGACCCCCCCCCCTTTCTCTGACTACTCCCTTTCTTCCCTTCACCCTTACCTGTCCATGT